GAACTCTTATAGTATCAAAAATTGAGATGACATTTTTTGTTCAGATCTTTGAAGATAACACTCAACCGTTGACATTGAAGGAAAAGTTACCGTGGGAAGTTTTGTAATCATTTCACTTATCGTTCCCCCCATTCTTCTCTGTCCACGTTGAGCACATAATCTCGGAGAAGCTTCAGCTTTTGATCATTTATGATGTGCTCATACATGCGCTTCTTCATTTACCTCTTTTTCTCCTCTTACTTTGATGGAGATTACTATGTTGTTCTTGGGTTTCATTTCTATTCTGTTAACCATCCTTTTAGTTCATAACACATGAGCTCAACGGAACACCTAAGTCCTTCAAACGTATCAGAACTTGCTGAAAGTGTTGGAAACGGAGAAGAAGAAGGGGTGGGTGTTTTGCATGGAATCAAACTAGTGTCATTTTGTATAATACTCGAGCAATTTCGCGAAAGTAGCTTTTGGTTGTTGGATAAGTTCGTGCCTTTTTTTTCAGACTCAGACTTTTTTTTCTCAAGAAAACGGAGGTTCTGGCAGCCCATTATGTCATTCAATAGATGTTATCCTCTGCAAAGTAGTTGACTTGGTTTATTTACTAATTTCGGCTATGTTAAATTGGAAGCGATTGATTTTGAATTTTTATGGGACCAAAAAATCGATGGTAGCTCGTTTTGTCAGAACGCAAGATTTTTGAAAATCGCGTACTTCGTGGTGTCAGTCATGTATGCTTTTTATGAAAATCATGTGCATTTCCTAGGCTTACCATAGGACAACATTACGAAAACGCTGCAGAAAGAAACGCCGCAATGAAAATCAAACATTTGTCCAAAAAGTGCTCTAATGGCGTTAACTTGCTATTACAAAAATCATATTTTTATCGTATAATGGGACCTCTTACTTTCATAGGAATTGGATATGATTCGTGATAAGCATGCCATTCAACTCCTGTACACCAATTTTCAATCAAATCCGTAATGTTGACCCTGCGTACAACTATCATAATCCTACACTGGACACCTATCATGAGGAATGTATATATTTGCTATAGCGTAGTCAATTTCCTCAAAGGGTAGCGTTATTGTGAATTCCGAGTCGCTCGCTTTTTCGGAAAGTTAAGCTGTCGATAAGTTTTTCTGGTCTTCCGGAAGTACAGTTCTTTTACTTCAAGACAAGACAGAAATTATTGGTCATGTTCGCCACATTTTGTTATAACTTCTACATTCAAATAATTTTTAAGCTATTAAAAACATCCCGTTTCTCGGATTTCTTTCCAGTAAGAAAAAACTTCATAACCCCATGCAAAGCCCAAGGTGAAACGAAATCATAGTAGTCAGGACAAGTGTGCCCTTGAATTGACAATTGTTAGTTGGCGATTTGCAATGATATTCCTTTTCTTAAGCACTAATTCGATGGTTAAATAGCACTTGTAACGGATGACCCCTTCAATTTTGATGTTTGCTTAGGACCCTTGTAAACTTGGAGTGGACGGCTTCTTTTTCTCTTTTACGTGCATAATGGCGAGACAGAGATACTCGTAGTGAGGCAATCCAACATCATTGGAAAGGATGAAGGTTGGTGCAGCAAAAAGGCTGATGGAGGCTGAAACTTATATCTTCTTATGACATGCAGAAAACCCTCCACAGATACTTGACATTTCCGTTAGTAAAGTTTTGCTGAATCTGCTTCCTTATGTATGAACTTGTAATAACAGGCCGAAT